CCTGGCATTGTGACAATGTCACAATGCCAGGCTGAAATTTTTTATCATATTTTTAATAAATTTTTAATTTAAAATATATGCTCTCCACCTCAAATTAGTAGTGGCTTGCCCCTGTACATCATACTTTTCTGTTAGCACTAGAGTCATACTGGTCATCTATCTAACTCCTTTCAGGAAAAAATTTTTGAATTGAAATAACACGACTTTTGGTTTATACCAGAAGCTCATATATAGTTAATTGGGGCCTCCTTCCCCATCTTTCCATACCTGGTCTTGGCTTTCATCTATTTAACTCTGTTCTTAGGAATAAGGAAAGACAGTGAGAATTTATAGGTCTACAAATTTTTAAAATTGCAGCCCAACAATGATCATATATTAAAGAAATAACTGTTTTAAAAATAAATTTGGTTAATTTACAAAAATATAAACATCTATTAACCTGATTTTCAGATTAATCTGGCAATCATTTGACTTTAATGGTTAATTTATATATTCTCAAATTCTTTCATCTGGTAATTAATCAAATAGTAACTTTTGATTTGTCTCCTTTTATATTTTCCTTTTTCAATTTATTTTGATAAAAATTATTTTAGAATTTTTTTGTTTCTCATGAAAATATAAATTATCCACAATTTTTCAAGTAATGTATTTAAACCATGTTAAACCTAAGTTTTACATTTAACTATAAATTTATAATGTTGAAATATAAAAAGTATATAAAAGTTTAGAGATGTTGATTACAGGTGTGCAGAATATGTCCAATCACAGAAATGAGGTTTGGGAGAAATTAACAATAGAAAGAATATTATGGCAAAAAAATATAGTAAATGGATAAGCCTAAAAACATTGAGCTAATTACCAAAAAGTGGAGATATTGTATATATGTATTTTAAAAGTGAAATTGAAACATTGTTTACTTTGTTTATGACCAGTTTAGTCACTTGTTACAATGCTGTCATCTTCACAATCATGTGCTTGAAGTAAGGATGAGTTGGTCGCTGTTATGAAACCAGAATTTCAATTTTTACAAAAAATTGAAATCAAAAAATATATTTTTATTTCAAAACTCTTTTCAACACTATTTAATGAACAAAATTTTGTGTAAAACAAAATATTCACTCATTCCCAACATGGAAAATTTGCATATTAATAAACTGCATTTAAAACTATTTCTGAATTATCTTGATTACATTGCTAAATATAAAGTGATAAAATTTCTAAACATTATTTTCCTTTATTTTTCATATTTTTTCATAGATTTATTATAAAATAAAAAATATTAATGTCAAAAAATATTTTGACATTAATATTTTTTATTTTATAATAATTTAAGCTCGATAATGACCNTGAGAAAGGACAAAAGATGTAATAGTGAGAAAGGTTAAATAGATCTTCTGTTCAGTAAATATGGACCCGTAATTTTTCAACTTTTTATACTACTTTATCTTTTGTCCTCTGTTTCTTTATATCTCACTTGGGTCTATAATCCTTTGATTCACAACTCCAGCTTTATTTAGTATGTCTTCCAACGTTGCAAGATTTGGCTACATTGGGTCAAATGTGGCTACTTTTTTTGGTTTGACGTAAAAAATATTATTTGGCGCTTTGACTGCTTTTTCGGCTACACATTATTTCTAATTACAGTAGAGCGTCGATTTTCCGAAAGTCAATCATCCGAAAGAATTCCAGTCGGCAAATTTAAATTTTCGCCAGTGCTGTGGCGCTTCAATCTTTGGCTATGTCTTGGGCTACTCAAATATTTTACGTTTTTGATACTAAATTAACATCTGAAGTATAATTTTTTTATTATTTTTATATTTTTCAATATATTTTATTTTGTTTGTACAAAATAAAAAAATAATTTTTAACGATACAATAGTCTTTGTTAGGCTTAACATCCACGAAAATTCAACGCAAAGCGACACGCAACAGAGAAAAATTTCGACATCGGATACGTTAAACTATTTTTTCGTACTTAAATCAGTTATCCGAAATATCAGTTATCCGGTCAACCCCAGTCCCCAATTGATTCGGAAAATCGACGCTCTACTGTAATTATTATTCTGTAAGTAACAGATGAAAATAAAATTCAAACTTTAGTCTTTTTCCAAACAGTTCTAAATTAAGTTAGGAATTATGAGATTCAAATTAATATTTTTAATTATTCTTTAACTATATTTTATAAATTTAATTACTTAATTTTAATGGTTAAATAATTCAGACTAATTATTAATTAATTTCGACAAAAGATACACTATTATTGATAGTCTGAATTATTTAACAATTCAGACTATCAATAATAGTGTATCTTTTGTCAAAATTAATTAATAATTTTGTCGAATAAATAATTATTGTCGAAAGCACTTGTTGATCTAGCAATACTCATTTGTAATTTAACTCCTATATGTTAAGAAGTTTCTCCTAGTATATCTTTAATTTACCATTTTTATTAGCAAATTACTTTAATTAAAAATTAAATCTTTAAAGCCAGGATAGTAATAATTTAATATAGTTCAGCAAATTTTAAAAGTTTGGTTTTTATAAATAACAAATTAATGAATTAGTTCTTTATTTTTTAGTTTTGCTACAAACAACTATAGATATAAATAAAAACTAAAAAATGCAGTTCCTAAAAAATGTAGTTCCTAACTGAAAATTTGCTGTGAGTCCATCTACCATTTGTTGGATTACAGAGATGTATTACATAGAGATCTAATACACAGCAATCCAGTTATATAGTAAAAAATGCAAAAATTAATTTTCTAAAAAAAAAAATAAGTACCATAAACTAATTATTCCTAGATAATATATAAGGGGAAGCTAAGGATCAAGCTTATCTGTCTCACTGATTAATCTTGATTAATCTTGGAAAAAAGCACTAGGAATGGGTTTCAAACTAAACTCATATAAATGTAAATAATTGCAAATTACAAATTTCATTGATATCTTTATGGGTTACTTAATCCACTTTTACCTAGATTTGTCATAATGGACTGTTATGACAAATTTAGGTAAAAGTGAATCAAGTGATCTATAAAGATGTCAATGAATTCTACTAAATATGAAATAAACAACAATACAAATTTCATACGCTATTGTTTCCTTGTAAAAATATAAATTTATATACAGGTATACCATGCCTTACATTGATAATTGGTTCCAGGAGAAGGTGACTTAAGTCGAAAAACGATGTAAGTCAAATTTACTTGTCTCCGAATTTACTTGTCACTAGGCTAAACCACAAATAACCATTCCCAGTTCTGTATTTTATTTATAAATGCATTTTGAATAATATATTGTTAATAAGAATATATTTTAAGTTTACAAACAAATAAATTTTAGTTTTTAATATAGTACAATAAAAAGTATTCTAAATTTATGAATTCATGTACAGTACGTACAGTACATACTTGTAAATGTATATGTTTACAATTTGGCGATGTTTACAGTACTTTGCGGACTCTTTATTTGTAAATGTGATTTGCTCTAAGACATTATAAAATAAGATGATTTTGTAAGGTTAGTTAACAAATACAGTTATTAAAATTATCTCGCGACAGTAGAAAATAAACTAATTTATATTAAATTTATCAATATCGAGTGGCACTGACAACAACACCAAACAGTAGATATTAAAACTACCATGGTATACACCAATATTGAGCACTTAAAGACTGCTAAATAAGATGACAACACAGTCACAGATGTTTTCATGTCTCCTTCTCTACGATTTATGATGATTATATTAACATTTACTATAAATGTACAGTACATATTTTAATATGATTTTATGCGCTTTAACGCTTTTCTAGTGATACTACAACTTCAATATTTGTGGTGAACAGACATAAAGTTGAATAAAATGACTTAAACTTCATTTTATTTTTCCATATAATTTTTTTACGACGTATAATCGAGAACAACGTAACTCAAAACAATGTAACTCAAGGTATACCTGTATTATCATCATTTTATATTTTGTTTAAANTTTACAAACAAATAAATTTTAGTTTTTAATATAGTACAATAAAAAGTATTCTAAATTTATGAATTCATGTACAGTACGTACAGTACATACTTGTAAATGTATATGTTTACAATTTGGCGATGTTTACAGTACTTTGCGGACTCTTTATTTGTAAATGTGATTTGCTCTAAGACATTATAAAATAAGATGATTTTGTAAGGTTAGTTAACAAATACAGTTATTAAAATTATCTCGCGACAGTAGAAAATAAACTAATTTATATTAAATTTATCAATATCGAGTGGCACTGACAACAACACCAAACAGTAGATATTAAAACTACCATGGTAAACACCAATATTGAGCACTTAAAGACTGCTAAATAAGATGACAACACAGTCACAGATGTTTTCATGTCTCCTTCTCTACGATTTATGATGATTATATTAACATTTACTATAAATGTACAGTACATATTTTAATATGATTTTATGCGCTTTAACGCTTTTCTAGTGATACTACAACTTCAATATTTGTGGTGAACAGACATAAAGTTGAATAAAATGACTTAAACTTCATTTTATTTTTCCATATAATTTTTTTACGACGTATAATCGAGAACAACGTAACTCAAAACAATGTAACTCAAGGTATACCTGTATTATCATCATTTTATATTTTGTTTAAAGTTGTCAAAAATTACTCACTATTACTGCTGTTTTTGACTCATTTCCAGAACTAATTCTTCTTACATATCCACCTATATATGAAAAATTAAATATTGGAGTGTTTTCAAATATTCTAGCCCTTCAGTCAACATTCTGCATTATACACATAACAACAAATAATTTACTTATTATATAAAGTAATAATAAATAATTAAAATAGTACCTTGTACTTCAAATAACACTAACTTCAAATGTTCCAGAGTTTGAACATTAAACTGAAGAGAAATTTGACCCAGAGTTCAACTGATGCTTCTATGTTCAAACAATTTTAACTTTGAGGTAATATGTTTTAGTGCTTTTTATATTTAAATATTTTTTCCTGAATAGAGATTTTTTACTATAAATTCAACAAAATTACTTATGTTAAGCTTTTCTTATTTATATTTTATATCTTAGTATAATTTTTAATTATACTAAGCTTTTTTTTAGTTAGTTTCTGAAATTGAAGCACAAAACATTTGAACATTTTTGTATGTAGTAGCATATATCTTTAAATATCTTATTTAAAAATTTGTTTATTTTATTTGGAGCAAATAATATCAAAAACACAAAATCTTCAATATTTTTAACCTGTAGGAACTCATTTTCCAGAGCCAAAATAAACAGTCATATTAATACAAAAATATTATGCTCTGTCAGCTAAACACATTATCTTTCACAACTGTAGATAAAATATAACAGAATATTTAATATGATATTAAATTACACCAAATAACATGAAACATGATGACAGTTTCTTTAATACACATCATATTTATAAAAATTAAAATATATATATAATATCATATCATAATATACATATATATATATTACCTTTACAAATTAAAATTAAATCCTTCCCAAATAAATAAAACAAATTTCCAATATTCATTATAATATCTTAAGTCACACTTCAGAGAATCATCCGTTAATAAAATCAACTGCTTTTTGAAATCAAAATCTGTTTTCCTTATAGTATGTAAGGAGTCAAAGTCCAACTGTTATTCTTACTTATTATTACTATTTTCTTTTTCAGAGATTTTATTATGTTTTAAGGATGAAAACTCTCAAAATCCCAAAGACTAAATTCAAAATTAAACTAAAGGAATAAAGATCTCAGAAATAAGTCACTGAACTGGAATGAAATAAAATGGAAAAAGTTTGACTTTTGAAAAGATTAACATAAATACATAAATTGGAAAAAAATAGAAAAGACTGTTTGAAAAACAAGAAATTAAATTGTTACTGTAAAAGTATGTAAATAGGAAAATGCAGAACTACACTTTGTAACATCATCATAAGCCAGATAAAAGATGGCAGACCAATTCAACAGATGAGGTGAAGCTCTCAAAAGCAAGATTTGATGAGTCCAAGTACCAGAGGTGATCTACTCCTGGATTGAGAATTTTCTGGCATTCTTTTGGTCATGGTCAGGTGCTTAACTTGTAAAAGATATTAAATCAAAAAAAAAAAAAATTACACAAGTTAGTTTTAAGTCTCGAATTGGAAAAAATCTTTTATCATTTATTATTTTGTTTGATTTGGTAAATAGTTTGATATACAGTAGACCCCCCTATAATGTGGGTTCATATAATGCGGATTCGTATATTGCGACGAAAAAATTGCGACCGTATTCATATAAAGACGCTAACAGAGACTCATAAAATGCGGTAAAACGTCATCGCCGACTTGTGTCGCGACAGGATTGGTCGAATCTGGACCAATAGTGGACAAGCAGCCGAACTACTTTCACGCTATGGAGAGTTTAGGCAGTAAGTTGAGTTTACTATCGTCTGTACAGTATATAGGCCTAAATTAGGTACTGTAAGTCTAATACAGTACTGTAATTTTATACATTTCTTGTGAAAAAAACATTTCTTATTCAACGGCCATAAAAATTATTTCTATTAATGATGTCTCCAAAGTTCAACGAATTTTTCGCAGAAAAATAACTTATCAGAAAATGTGCCCGCTGTTTGGTGCACTGCTCCGCGATGAAAACAAGCTTAAGCAATGGCGTCGTCGAACGGTGCACACTTGGTAAGTAATCCTATAATTTTTTGTTTATAGCATAGTTTATACAGATTATTCCCAAAAAATTATACTTGTTTTGGAAATGTTGAGTCAAATTAGTCTAGAATCTATTAATTTTATGGAAGAAAACCTTTCAAACAGCCATAGTCCATAAACTGCATATGTGCTGCTGGGCTGTGATTGACTCATGTATTTGAGGATTACTACAACACGAAATTCTTATAAAGTGGAACGTATCTAGTGCGTTATAGGGAGGTCGACTGTATATTTTTATTACTATATGGTTTTCTTGCTCATATTTATTCTTGTTGTCTTATATTATAGTTTGACATAATAAATATTATCATTAACTTAAATATGTGTCATTTTCAATTTTTTCTCTTTTTTATTAAAAGTCATTAGAATTGCAATCCAAGTACTTGGTTGAACCCAAATTTTATGTAACACCGCTTTGTTAGGTATTATCTAGACTTAATTTTGATCACACAATGCATTACATGTAATATAATTATTAAATTATCCAGATTTTAGAATCAGTCAAATAATTGAATCAAATGATTTTTTAGGTTTTTCAATCTACTTGAATCACCCAGATTAGAGGTTGATACTTTAACTGCTTGGCCATCTGACCATCATACAGTCCACATTACAACATAAAACGAATTTAATACAGGCAATATCATATACAGTATATATTAGCAGTATTATTGCACCACTCATTTTCTATTGTATAATGTATATAGTAAAACTTTTCTTAACAGACACTTATAACATATGACTTAATGTCTGATTTTATAAGATTTACATTGATTATTCATAAATATATGTAAAAAATAATGAGTTTTGATTGGTTGTTATTAATCTTAATAAAATATTCTACCAAATTACATTGGTAGCAGTGCATGGAGTTGATTATTTTTTGTGACATTGTTATTCAAAAAATTAAAAATGAAAGCAAATCAAAGCAGCACCTGTTATGACAATAATATGGAAAATATTGCCTCAGAGGATTTGCTTCACATAGTAGAAGCAAAAAAGCAAAGCAACTGACCTCTAATCAGCACAATAAAATTTCACAGTTGTTACTACAATACAAGATTGGAAACATGGTGCAGTCAGTAAAGATGCAGCTTGAATTTGATGTTATATGTTAATTGATGTACACTCACTCAGCATTAGTATATAAATAAAAAAACACAACACCTTAATTTGCTGAGAAAAAAAAAAAATTTAATGTAAAGCAAACGTTTTCAGCCAAATCAGTTGGCCATCGTCAGGCTAAGAACATTCGAATATAAATAAAATAGAACAAAAATTTAAATACAAATAAAATAAAATAATGAGCGAAATATATATATAATTGTATAATGAATAATAAAATAAATAAAAATTATTGTTACAAATAACAAAAAATGTATATGAAAAAATAAGCATAGGTTATTTAAATATTATTAAAATGTTATATAGAAATTCAGTGAAATGCACTTTATGCAAAAAAAATATTAAAATCGCCGCAATAAATTAAGAGCTGTCCAATCGTTTGATAAAGTATTTCCAGGCTGAAGGCAACCCTTCAGAATCTCTAGAATTGATGCATGAATCATGCAATTTGCTTTTATATATTTCAATTTTTTCTGCGCAATTCGCCAATGTCGGTGAATGTACTGATTTAATAATTTCTGCTTCGTCCCATTTGACGATTGAGCCTTCAACTTGCGCCATTTGCGATAGTATAGTGGCACTAGATCCCTTGCTGATGTTATACTTATGTTCTTTTATTCTGACTCCTAAACTTCTATTAGTGACACCAATATAATTTTTATTGATGTCTAATTCACGATTTTCATAAGGAATCCTGTATACTCCAGCTCTTTTTTCTTTATCTACTCTGTCTTTGTCATTCCTTAATAATTTATACAGGTTAGGAGCCCTCTTGAAAATTAACTTGGATTTTTTGCGGACCGCGATTTCCTTCATGATGTCTTTTCTCTTTTTATCATACGTGAACTTTGTAATTTTGCCGAAATCGCATTTTTGAGCCTTAGTTTTGTTTACTTTGTATTTTTTTACCAATGTTATTATCATATCTCTCCTGTACCCTAGCGATCTGGCAATATTTAATANCATAAGTATAACATCAGCAAGGGATCTAGTGCCACTATACTATCGCAAATGGCGCAAGTTGAAGGCTCAATCGTCAAATGGGACGAAGCAGAAATTATTAAATCGGTACATTCACCGACATTGGCGAATTGCGCAGAAAAAATTGAAATATATAAAAGCAAATTGCATGATTCATGCATCAATTCTAGAGATTCTGAAGGGTTGCCTTCGGCCTGGAAATACTTTATCAAACGATTGGACAAATCTTAATTTATTGCGGCGATTTTAATATTTTTTCGCATAAAGTGCATTTCACTGAATTTCTATATAACGTTTTAATATTTAGTTAACCTATGCTTATTTTTTCGTATACATTTTTTGTTATTTGTAACAATAATTTTTATTTATTTTATTAGTCTGTATACATTTATATATATATTTCGCTCGTTATTTTATTTTATTTGTATTTAAATTTTTGTTCTATTTTATTTATATTCGAATGTTCTTAGCCTGACGATGGCCAACTGATTTGGCTGAAAACGTTTGCTTTACATTAAATTTTTTTTTTTCTCAGCAAATTAAGGTGTTTTTTTTTAGTTATATGTTATACCATTTCCAGAATTTAGTACAGGGCTAAAAAACAATAGGACAAAAGAGATATTTGCACTGATATTTCATCTAAAAAGGGAGGAGAAATGTGGCCAAAGAAGCAGGAATTATTCAAACAATTTGAGCAAGGTTAAAGATATCACTTTCAATTTTTGAGGTACAATTTGCAGTTTGTTTTTTTTTTTCTTTTTTTGCAATCGAAATCTCCAAGTTAATGCTTTTTCAGATATTTCAATAAGACAATCAACAATGAAACCAATGATGGATAAAAACAAAAAGCCAAAATATAATTTTGCTTATCTAAGGTAAAACAAAATGGTTTTTCAAAAGATATGGAGTAAAGCATTTATAAGTATATTAAACAACCCAAACCTGAATGAAATTATCAGAAGTTTTCATTGCCAAAATAAAAATAAAATTCATATAAAATTGGATACATCAGATCTTACAAAACTTTAATTGAAACTTCCTAAAATTGTAGCAATTTGGAATTCTATCCAAAACAAAAAATGCCAATGCTGTCTTAGTGAATGAGATTTTCACAAAATTAAAAATTGTTAAATATCTTTTCTCAGCTAGCAGTTCTGTTAATTCTTATTCTTAATACAAGTGAGTAATCTCAAATTTGAAAAGATACCATTAATTTTTCATTTTGGATATAAGCAGGTACAGTAAAATTTGTCTCTAGTGAATCTTAAAAATGAGATATTTTATTATATATAATCAAAATACTATTTGACCAATTACTGCATTCTGGTGAGATAAGTTTCTTTTTCAAACTATACAAACAAAGACAATTTGACATTATATGGCTAATCTAAAATAATTTTATATTAATATAGGAATAATCAGTTAATTTTAAAAAGCAATTTAATTTTTTATAATAATTTTAAAAGTTTATCATAAAGTTCAGAATAAATTCATCCTATCTCACATCTTCAAATGATATTATAACATAAGAAAAGTTAATACAACTTACCTTGTACTATCATCATAATTACTCCACTAAAAAAATATAATTTTCCTTGTTGCATACTAAAATACAATTTTAATTTATGTAAGCTTTTCTTGAATTTATAAGCTATACAAGTATTAAAGTTATTTTATTTTATTTTATTACTTACCTTGTATAATTAAAACGTACATGTGTGAGAAATGTAAGAGAATATTCCAGGCCAGAATATAATAATAAATATGTAAAATAAATAAAGCCCACATTTTGTAATATCCTGAGATCTGAAATTTAAGTTATTAATTCAGTAAATTAGTTATTTTAGGAAATTTGTTTGAATGCAAAAAAATTAAATAGATGATTTAGATAAAAGAAACAACTTAAAAAGAACCTATTGATAAACAAAAAACAAATTTTTAACAAAAAGATTTTTTAAAATATTTAGTTTATCAGAAACTATGAGGCTAGTCAATAAGATTTATATAACACATTTTCCTGTCCTTTAAACAAAATCAAATATCATTATTAATTTAGATTGTGATTTTTTTTGTCATGTTATAAAATATTCATATCAATATATTTAGGTTATCATCAACAATTTTAAGTTATTTTAACAATGTACAGCAGGAATCTATTCAGCAGATGAATAGCTTTACAGTAGATTTGTAACAATGCTGAGAAAATCCAGGTTATACATTGTTGAAATAGTTACATCTAGTGAGAACTATCAGAAACAATAAATCATGATTAAATTCTTGACAGCAGAGAACAAATCTTTTTCTTGGCATCTAAGACAAAGATGTTGCTAAAAAATGATGGCTTATAAACTGAAATGCCAAAAAATTAGAGACAGCAGCATATGCAATGTTGTTACCTTCTACCTATAGGAGAAATGCTTTGAGCTGGAACATTTGCATTTGACACCATAGGTATGATACTTATTGGTTATGGTCAGCTTGGTTAGAGTAGCAATGGGCCTTGCAGTGGCATAGTGTGGGTGTCAGCTGCTGGGGCAAAGGAAAATTTTGCCACCCCCTTATTTAGGTATCTCAATTTAAAAGACTAAAATTCAGTTTCGTCACAGAATAAGTAATGAAAAATTCCGTGCTAGTGTTGCCACCTTTTTAAAATTGCTGAGCTGAACGGCAGGTGAGGTTTGTTCGAACAGAAGTTCCTGACATATGCATATGTCATTTTGCAATGTGAAGAATAAAGTGCAGTGCATGCCTGTTCTAAATCAGTTACAGTTAGGGACTAGGGAGACTTGGATAGAAGTAACGTAAGTAACCTAGAAGACATAGCTCTATTGGATATTGGAGGAGGTGTATATGAGTACGAATGAATCGTACAAGCAAAGAAAAAAAAATAAAAGGTCGACAGGTTGCAGACGGTGAGTCAATTCCCGGACTGTCTGGATGGTAACACTATTACTTGCTCATTTCAATCGGTCTGAATCATAGGTGCGTCGAAAATATGAAATGAAATGGTTCAAATTTTTATAAGATATTATTATTATTTATTGTGAAATTTTGCCGCCCCCTAAAAAGTGCTGCCCGGGGCAGGCCGCCCCCTACGCTACGCCACTGGGGCCTCGTAAAGGATTTATTGCCATTTGATCATGGACAGATTGTTGGAGCAAGAAGAATGAGTCATTCTGTCAGTGAGGTGAATACTGCTTTTGGGTTTTCTCATGCAACAGTTTCAAGGTTTTACCAGGAATACTTAAATTCTAGTCAGCATCAGCAGCATTTGCACAGTGTGGGCACCCATGGCTGATGCAAGAACAGGATTGCCAGCAGCTAACCAGGTTAGTAACCATGCAATAAAGAGTAATTTGGCACCAGATCATATCAGAAACAGAGGTGCTGCTGAACCCATCAGTCAATGCACTATACCTTGTACACTGCATTTCTTGGGGTTTGGTAGTCACCAACCCACTTTGGTATCACTACTAACACCCAGGCAATGTGCCTCACCTGGGCCAAAAAACATCAAAATTGGACAATGGATGACTGGTGCAGTGTTATGTGGTCAGATGAATCTCGTTTTCAGCTTTTTTGAGCTGACAGTTGTATTCATGTGAGGCAACAACCATATGAAGCCACGAATCCATTGTGTCATCAAGGTGTTGTGCAAGCTGGTGACAGCTCTGTCCTGGTTTGAAGTGTGTTCTATTGGCCTGAACAGGGACTAATAGTGAGACTGCAGTTGACTTTGATAGGTGCAGCATATACCAATCTCATGACAGACATTTTGCATCCCTTTATGCTTGCTATGTTTTCCAACAGTAATGATTTGTACCAGCAGGATAATGCTACTACTCTCCACAGGGCACAGATGGTTTGAGAACACTTGACAGATTTTCAGCTACTTTCCTTGGCCACTTTGATTGCCAGACTTGAACCCTTTAGAGCATTTATGGAACATGTGCAAACGTTATTCAATGCCTTGTAGAACTAACCAACAAATGCAACTGAATTATGGAGAACCATCGAATGTGTCTGAATTAAAATACCTGTGCAACAACTCAGACATCTTGTAGAATCTATACCACATCATGTAGCTACTGTTATTCACACTCGGGAAGGAGCTACATGTTATTAAATATGGGTCTCTAATTTTTTGGTACTTCAGTTATATTTTATCATAACTGAAATCAATGAGAGAAATATCCAAAATACTGGAATATTTGAAAGTTTGTAACAATTGTAAGTCTTAGCAACTTGGACCACAAAACACAATTAATGACACAATTAATAAACACAAACTAAATTAATGACAATTGTCAGTTGAGTTTCAGAATTCTGAGCAATGGAAGATGCCATTTTATTTCAGATTGTTACTGATGATGAATCCAGGATTTCTCATTATGCATCTGAAATAAAAAGGTTGATTCAAGCATATTAACTTCCTGAGACCAAAAGAAAATAGTATATTCACAAGAAAAGTCACAATCACTACTTTTTTGAGATATTTAAAGAATTATCTTGCTAGATATTATTCTAGGTAGTATCAATATCAATTCTTGTCTTCACTATTATTTTGAAAAAAGTTTAGATTACTATGGTTTTAATTTCTTCAGAATAACAGTATAGGTCTGTATGTCTTGACATGGACATGTGTCATCAATATAGTAATTTGAATATCGGTTTTAAAATGCATATCTAAATCATTTCATAATTTATTCAAAATGAAGTAGACTACTTCATCTTAGTCATTACATTGTCAAGTACTGATATTGTTATATTTCTTTGTCTTTGACTACTCAAAAAATGTAACTGGTAGGAGAAAATTCGACAAAGTATAGTTCTATCAATATCATATACAAAGACTAATTTGTTAATAACAAAAAATAATAGAGAATATAGGATCTACGTGAAAAATTAATGAATACATTCAATAACCCTTACATTAAATATATTATTAAAATATCATAAATGATAAAATTTTAATCTAATTATTAAAATTGTACATATTATATTATTAATTATATATTGAAAATATTAAGTATTATTTTTGAAAAACTATCTAATATTACCTTCAATTTTGATGTTTTGTACAGGTTTAAAAGTAAATAATGATGATGGAGATATGTAATTATAAGCCTCTATAATTCCACTCCCAATATTTNCAATACCAAACTGAAATATTAAAATTTGATAGTAATTTTTTCTTTTTTAGTTTATTCCCTTTTCTTGTGGAATGTTTTTAATATATTTAAAATTTTTATTTTTATCTAATCACACTTAATGTATATAATAACAGCATAATCTAATAGCTTTTAATACAAAAATAATATTTTTACTTCATTTGTAATTTCTTACACTGAAAAATATAAATATCTAACTCTACAAATTTAAATTTAAATCTGAAATATTTTCATGTATTTTATTAGAGAGGATGCATATGATAAAATTTAACTACATTGATGTCCAAAGTATTGCAAGCTATGCATTTCAATTCTTTTTCATAAAATACTGTTTAAAATTGTATCTTTATTTAAATGCTTCATCTAGTGCACAAGAATAGGCAATTGTCTTAAATTATCTCTGTATTGGAATAAATCATTATTAAAGTGTAATTTTATTATTATTAAGCCAAAGGAAGCTAATTGAATTGAGTAAAATGATAAGTACAGTAATAAAGAAAAGTTTTATGTAAAATTTAAAAAATTTGTATCATTTTAATCNTAGTTACGCGTATCGTAATTAATTAATATTAGTAATTAACGTCACCTGGTAATATAGATAACCTCGTGTGATTTACAGGGTAGGAGAGGTTTGGGTAATATTTACGTGTGGGCATCGGGTGACGGCGGAGAAGACGACGATTGCAATTGCGACGGTTACGCCGCTAGTATGTGGACCATATCGATTAATTCGGCGATCAACAATGGAGAAAATGCTCATTACGACGAGTCGTGTTCTTCCACTTTAGCTTCGACTTTCAGTAATGGAGCCAAAGATCCTCATACCGGTGTGGTGAGTGACAATTTTCTCGAAAGATCGGTGGGTCTAAAAGTCTAGATTTGAATATTTAAATTATGCATCGTTCCAGGCTACTACCGACCTTTATGGAAAATGCACTCGAACACATTCGGGAACATCGGCTGCTGCACCAGAAGCTGCTGGAATATTTGCATTAGCTCTAGAGGCGAAGTAAATCTAATTATTTTTCCTTATTCCGCTACTCTGCCTTATAAATTTACATTCGTATTGAATTTATATATATATATATTTTTTATTTTTACAGGATAATTTATAACAGAACCAGAACATTTTTTGAGGGCTTGTCCAAAGGGGAAAAAACAACCTGATCAGACGAGTGTCAAGAGTCCCGAACGAAAAGTAACCTGGCAAAAGAAGGGTAACTGAAAAAGAAACTGTTAAACTAGACGGGAGACAGTGAGAGGAGGATCCTGTCTCCAGTATGGAACTAAATGCCTCCACCGTAGGACTAATCGTTAGTGAAGCCTCCAAGTTGCCTGAGGTAAATGTTTTTATTAATGGAGTACTAACCTAAGCCCAGATTGATACGGGTTCTGACTTTAAGATACCCCTGACTGACCTTAAGATGCCCCTATAAATAAAAAAGATGCATTCGCAAAATTAAGTCAGTTAAAATTTAACATTTTTTATGCCAGAACTATATCTATATAATAAAAAAGAGTGTTCAAAATGGTTTATTTTGTACATATTTTATTATGACACGTGTTACGCAGCCATCTTGTATTTTCTCGCGCGCGTGGGATTGTGGGATCTCTCTTATGCTGGGGTCGTATTCTGGTCACCATCTCTAGTCTCTTGTCTCTACCAAGCCGGTCGCTTATTGGCTAACCATTTGGATTAGCCAATCATGGACCATCTTGTGAGAGACCAGAGACGGTGACCAGAATATGGCCCCTGGATCTAGTTTCAAGAACTCTCTTGAGTCGACCGCGATTGAACCTCGTTTCAGTCGAGATTGAAACGGTCAAGGGAGGTCACATCAAGACGAACGGGGTATAAGGCTCTAGTTTACTAGTGTTACAGAGTATAATACGTATATTTTAATATATTTTTTAAAAGAAACAAAACCACTGAGAAATGTTACGAGTGTTTAACAAGGTTCAGAAAACTTTGAAAATGTTAACAATGGGTTCGGCCGAACCTGTGCAAACCTGCTGAATATCACCACTGAATAGATCTGATAGCTACTTGAAACAATCAGTATAAATGAAGATGAGGAATAATTCCTCAGCATGAAAAATCACAAAAATTTAGATCAGATTGGAATTGGATTACTACACATCTTGTCATACAGTGTTTCACTGTTTTAATAAGTTTAATAGTTTTATGTTATCATCTTTATAAAAACTTGTATATTATAGAATCATTAGAACAATTGTAAATCTTTATTATGTAATATATTGTCATACCCTTTTATCTTCAGGAAGAGATTCTTTAAAAAATATTGCTATAAATATAATATCCAAAACTGCAAGTATTAATGCAAATAATGCAGGAATTACAAAAAATTTTCCATCCTGATGTCCAATCCAAATGGAAAATGCTGCTCCAATCATAGGTCCAATTACAAAACCAATTGCAAATGCAATTCCAATTAATGCCTACAAAATATTTCAGGTAATTATTTGTTTATTAAAATAAATATATTCTTTAATTTATCTAAACTTAACTTTCTTACAAAAAATAAAACTTCACAAAAATAAAATTTCAATGAAAAATACTTTATAGGAATTAATACAATTGAAATAACAAACAAAAGAAATTAAGCCTAATGTTGATGCTTTTGAGTATAATCTTGTCATCAGGAAGAAAGCTTTAATAATCAAATTTGATTGCTTAGAAAGTGATATCTACACATTCATTCTGATGTTTGTTATTTCAATTATATTAACTCCTATAAAACATTTTCATTGAAAATTTAAGGCTTATGTTTATAATACAGTATAAAAGAAAAAATTAAATAAAAATAAATTTTAAACTCACCATTCCTTTAGCTCTTGATTTAGAGTCAGAAACATCTGCTACTATAGCAGCACTTAAAGTGATATTTCCTTTACTCAAACCCCCAATAATTCTTGCTAAAACAAATATTCCAAAGTTATTAGAGCATGACCAAACTGCATAGGAAACTGCAATACCAAACTGAAATATTAAAATTTGATAGTATTTTATATTTTATATTAAGTTTTATAATTAATAAAATTTAAAATCATAAACAATTAAATACATTTTATTCAATACAGAAACAAAATGATAAAATAGCAAAATAAAATTCAATCAATAGCAAAAATTAAAAATCAGACAACAGTCAAAAATTAGAATAGAAACATATCAATGATTCTTTTCAATTTTGGTAGTATATATTTCATGGTTATTTTTCTGAAAGTGATAAAACTCTTACATCTGAAACAAAAATAAATTAACTCAAAAAATAAAAACACCTAGCATTTTTTGTGTTAACATGACTGTTCTTTATCCCATGGAGAATATGGCAAGTTCAATAACTACATTTATATAGAGCCATGGCTACAGGGAGTTATGAGGTGGTTTAGCCCTTTCAGCATAGTCAGCAGTGCGCATATATGGTACAGTAAGAGCTCATTTAGCACTTCCTTGATTAATACTGATTTGATATAATGTGGTCTGCTCAAAGCCTAAAGAAAAAGCTCAAAATTTATGATAATTCAAATTATTGCTGCATTTTATTCATTCGTATATACAGTAATATGATTATTCTCGAATATAAACCAATCAGCAAAAGGTGGCAATTTGCTGTGGTGCTGTACTTCCCCTAAATCTATGATTGTTGGTGCATTTGTTTCCATACATTGTGTTCATTAGCAGTGAAACAGTGTCCAAGCTATCAATATGGTTTGGAGTGCTGCGTAAAAACACTATTTATTTATGTGCTGTAATCATCAACATTATATGTTAAAAAAAAAATCAATAAAAATTCTATTTGTCCATTAAAAATTAATCCTTGTACAAATTTTAATATATATTCAATTTAGTTCAATTTCATTAATATATTTGTAATTTATTGCAATTTATCAAATTATTCAAAATGAGTAGGTGTAAAGGTAATACAGTTAAAACAAAAATGACAAAAAAAGCATTTTTCTCAACATTAAATTGCAGATGCTGAGGCAATTAGAAAATAGTGAACATCAAGTCGACATTGGAACTGCTTTAAATTTATCTACTTCTACTATACAAACCATTTTAAAAAACAAGTAGAAAATTAAGTTGTCATCAACCACACCAGAACTTCTTTTGTAACAAAGATAACCTGATCCAGAAGCAATGTTTTAGGGAAATTGGAGAAGCATTTTTGCATTTGGATTGATGATGAAATCAAATGTAACATGCCACTACACTAAATCAGGCAATAATCATGCAAAAGGCCATAAGTATCTTTAATCACATTCAAAATCAAAGAGAGAATATGAGTGAAAACTTTCCAGCTAGCAAAAGTTGGTTTGATAAATTTTTAAAAAAAAGCAACCTCCATAACATTTGAATCACTAGAGAAGCAGCAAGTGCAGATACTGCAGCTACTTCAGCTTTTCCAACAACTTTAAAAGCCATAATTGAAAGAGGGAATTATCCTCCAGAACTAGTTTTTAATAATAACATCTTAAAGCCCAAGTAGCATACAAAAAATCACCAAATAATCGCCTGAATATTGGGCTATAATAAGGCTAATTAAATGATTGGTATAAAGTAATTTGACACCAGAGGTAGACGTTAGGTACCATCTCTTAAGTAAATTAATAATTATAATTAAATAAATAAATTATTAAATAAATTTAGAACCTTCTGGAATAAAAGAACTGGCCCGGGATGGGGCTTGAACCTGCAACCTCCGCTTGCCATGTGGTGCGCTTGCCAGTTACGCCACCCGGATCCCGAGCGAGTCTTCGCTTCCAGAAGGTTCTAAATTTATTTAATAATTTATTTATTTAATTACAATTATTAATTTACTTAAGAGATGGCACCTAACGTCTACCTCTAGTGTCAAATTACTTTATACCAATCATTTAATTAGCCTTATTATAGCCTGATATTTAGGCGATTGTTTGGTGATTTATTGTATGTTACCTGGGCTTTGAGATTTTATTATTTATATATATACGATAATGCGATAGCTGGCTGAGTGCCGTTGTGGAGATGGTCTTAGGCCATGGGCGAAGGAGTCATCCCCAGTCAGTGTCGTATTTAACCAAGTAAGGTTATATCTAATGTAATATACTTCTGGAAGCGAAGACTAGCTCGGGGTCCGAGTGGCGTAACTGGCAAGCGCACCGCACGGCAAGCGGAGGTTGCAGGTTTGAGCCCTGTCCAGGGCCAGTTCTTTTATTCCAGAAGGTTCTAAATTTATTTATTTAATTATAATTATTAATTTACTTAAGAGATGGCGCCTAAGGTCTACCTCTAGTGTCAAATTACTTTAAACCAATCATTTAATTAGCCTTATTATAGCCCGATATTTAGGTGATTGTTTGGTGATTTCTAGTTTTTAATGTTGACAAGAAGGGACTTTTCTGGAAGAGAATGCCAAAGCACATTTATATCATGTGAACAAAGGCGAGCACTAAAATTCAAAGGTGTAAAAGACCATTTCACTCTTTTTTTGAGTAGTAACGTCAATGGTGATTTTAAATTAAAACCACTGCTTGTGTATGGTAATGACATCAATATTACCATTTAAATCTGTAATCCACAACCAAGCACTTATCATATTGTAAATTATATAACATGCAGGTGCATAGTGTGTACTGTTCATGTCTATTGATTAAAATTAATAAATAATTATATAGATATAAGATTTGTATTATTGAGCTGCAATTTTCAAAAATTGCAAACCTATAAATTTCCACTGGCATCCATCCATCCATCCATCTCTGTTCTTCCTATTACTATTTACATTATCACCAGAATGGCGTTAGATAGATGAAAGTCATGATCAGATATGAAAAGCTTAGTGACAGAAGGCTTCAATTAACTATATACAATCTTCTGGTTTAGACCAGAAGTCATGTTATTTCAATTCAAAAATTTTCTCCTGAATGAAGTTAGATTACTTGCATGACTCTATTGTTAACCTATCCTGTGTTATTTCCAACATATATCGGGGTCGTGACCTTTGACCTGCCAGGTTAAACCCAATATATCTCGTTACAGTATCGGTACGTTTTTGATACTAGCTGCCGCTACGCATCAGAATTTTTATATTAAAATGAACTTTCAAAATATAATTTTTTTTGTTTTTATACTTTTCAATATATTTAATTTGTTTGTACAAAATAAAAAAATAATTTTTAATGATACAATAGCCACGACTATTATTTAAAAAAAAATTTTTTTTTGTTAGACTTAACATAGACAAAAATTCAACATGGGATATGTTAACAGGAAAAGTATGATAGACGGGAAAGACACTACTAAAACTGAGAAAACTGTGATGAAAAATTGCAGCTTGGCACTGTGACAATGTCACAATATATATTGTCCTTATTTTTCATTTATGTCTTTTAAAACAGGTTTATTAATGCTAGGATTTATTGATTTGACCAAAACAAAACTAATATTTATGAAATAGAAAAATATCCTTAGAATAAGGCCTGCATCTAATAAAATTTAATCTTTAAGTTTTCACAAAGTATCAAAACTATACATACCATACTAAGTAACAAAATTGGCTTACGACCATAAACATCTGATAAAGCACCCATAATTGGAGCAGAAAAAAATTGCAGACAAGAAAACATTGATCCAATAAATCCTATTAAAAATGAAAATAAAATGTGAATTAAATTCAAATAAGCAAATGTAAGTCGCTTTTATAAATAAATTAAAAAAAAAATCCAGTAATGAGTTGCATGACTCCTGACTGTTATAAGATTTTATTAAAAATATAACTTTTGTATTACTGTATTAATTATAATAAATGAAATTGTGTGTGGTGCCATCTGTTATGAGATTTTGTTATAAAAACAGCCAGGAAAGTAACAAGAAAGTAACATTTGAGATGATTTCCCATGTTATGTTATGTTTCCTGGCTGTTATAACAGCTGGGAAAGTAAAAGTCATGTATCAATCCAATAATTTTAGATTATAAGCATATAGATTATATTTTTTCAAATTAAATAAGTCAGACATTTAAAATGTTTGATACATTTAATTTAAAAGTTAATAAAATATAAAAAATTCAAATAAATTTTAGGAATTGTTAATAAATAATAAACAGTATAATTAAAAAAGAGAGAGTGAATTTTCTATTCATTTAACCTATGTAATTGATTCTCGTTATTATTTATTTAAACCTATGAAAAACAGAAAAATATTTCTTGTTATTTCTTAGTATTATTAAGAATTAAGGCAGTATTTTTAACAAAATATGGAACATATTACAGAAAAGTCTATCTTAATTTGTAATCATAGCTTAAAAATAGAGTGGCTCTTTAATTTTGTGTTCTCCTTTTTTGACTATAATATGTTATTGACTACATATTTTTATATTTATATATTCAAAGATGAAAATAAAGTCATTAAATAAAGTTTTGAGATTGTTGCTTAGATTCATGTGTGAGATGTTAAGTTAGTTCATAACAGGTTGTGGACAAAGAATTAATACACACTTGTAAAAAAATACAAGAAATTTATTAAAAACAACTAAACACATACAAAAATACTCCCCAAGACCTGGGATATCAGCCAGCAGTGATTTCAACCAAATAATAATGCACCCCAATAACTCATCTGGGACTGAAGTTAATAACTGGAGTAACAAATTGAAACCTGACATACACAACCATTTTATTAATATAATTAAGCTTACCCTATGTATTAATACTAAACTAAAATTAAACATTACTATCAAACTTACAACTAATACAAAAACAACCAGTACCAGGAGATGTCTAAGTTGCCAATACTGTGAGACAGTTCTGGATAATAACACGTAGAAATGTCTTCTAGTCAAAGAAGTATTAGCACCAGAAAAGACATTCCAGATCTCTAATACCCAAGCTGAAAGGTAAAATATCCTTGTTGATTTCTCTTTCTAGTCCTCAATAGTGATTCTTTGTCTTCATCCTCCATATGTTATGTTATGGCTCTGATGAACATAACAACATAACACCATGTGCTTTTCTTCAACAATCTTATTCACTGGCCCACAATCAAAAAAGTGTCCTGTCCTTTCACTTCTGTTTTCAGGGCTACTCCAAAACTCGTCCTACCAGTTCTTCACAATTGGACAGGAAAAGGGGGGCCAACCCAGAGTTATATTTACACAAAGAAATAGGAACGGACAATCTATTCCAAGACTGAAAATACAGGAGTAGAAAAAAGGAAACATACTGTGGCTGCATGCCATTATTGTATAGTTTTAATTCATTTTATTTTAGAATATTATATTTCCCTTCCCTCATTTCTATTGCTATTATCTTTCCTTCTGGAACTTTCTTTCAACTCATTCTTAACAGCAGGTGTCCCTTAAGAACAATGGGACAGTATGCGACCCTCAGAGCAGGCTATAACCCAGGGAAATTATATTTTTGGCTGGAATTGGATGAGAAGGGACGTGTGAACGAAGCTCTCCAGAGCATTGGTGACACCTCGTGGAGAAAACAAAGGAATTGGAGAAAGAAGTAGATTCCTGATAGTGAAAGTATAAGAGTACCATTTTCATCCCAGTGTATTTGATTTAATATGAGGTTTAGTAAACTAAGCTAATATTCATCTTAATTAGAAAGTAGTTCATCCTTTTGATCTAATGCATCGAGAGCACTGCCGATAATCTTGGGTACCCGGTTTTTTTTTCTATTTTCTTCCTTGCTCTAAATCTCCCTATTCTCTTAAATTTATAATTAGTTAGTTATAAGGTAGTTGTAAAAAAATACATAGATATTTGTATCTGTCTTTTGTAAAATATTAATTAAGTAAGAATTGATTTGTCGTGATATTTCAATTTATATATTTTTTATTATTATTGGTTACTGTATTATCATGTATTCGTGTCAGCTATATGACAGAGATCATATAGCTGCCATACTATAAAAGAAGTTCCTGTATTCAGTTACACAAATTAAAGATTCTTGTTTTACTAAACTTGTTTCTTTGTCTACAAAATTCTCTCATATCATCATAGTACATACAGAAAAAAATATACAAGATGTACTGTCACATATAAAAAAATTAATAATATTGATACTTATAACATTTAATTCAGAAATTTCTAAAATTGAGGAACATGGAGAATTTATAATCCTGTTATTGCATTCTCAAGCATATAACCCCTTAGTGACATATAACCTGCAGAAAATTGCTAGAATAGAAATAAAGCCTTCACATAACCCACTCCACCATTTACCCAGTTCCTTTGGAAGCAGATCTGTTGATCCATAAGTGCAAGTTCATGATTGTAATTTACAATAGACAAACAACTCATCCCATAATATAACCTACATCCCATAAATTGACTTTTAAATATAGATAACCTGTGGGTTATAAGCATGAAAAAAAGATTTTAAAATAAAAACATTTGGATATATATAAACTTATATTAACCTGTCTTTTAAAAAGATTCCTAGAAGAACCATTTAGTTCTGTTATTTTATCTTATATAAATTATATTTTTCTGATATACATTTAAGAATTGAACATAATATATAATGCAATGTGATATAATTAAATTACTGATACTAACCTCCAAATAATACTTTATTAAATTCATTAGGCAAGCCTACATAATCTTGAAAAATTCTTAGTTTTTCATCTATCCAATGATATAAACCTTGCTATACAATTAAATCAAATAAACGATTATAAAAATTTACTATTTAAAAAGTAATGTTGATAACAATAATATATACAAGGTAATCACAAAGTCCTTCACACATTTTGAAACAATATAACAGAAAAATTAATTGACCTAAGATGATAAAGTTGGCAGCAAGAGAAGAATAACTCAAACAGTTTTTCAGGTTAAGTAACATAGAATGTCAAAAGACATCTGAAAGCAAAATGATAACATTACAGGAAACAGGTCAATTGTCTGAGACAAAAATTGGTGGTTACTATCCAGAAATAATATAGGAAAGAAGATGAAAAGGATCTTCTGTGCATTAATTCCATTAAGAGCTGGTTGTAGAATTTTAACGAGACAGAATTGGTTACTGATCACTCTTGCAGTGGCTGACCATCTGAGAGTGTAGAGCAAATGCATTAAGCCTACCAACACAGCCCTAAAAAATTAGGTTGACACTATGGATTGTACAGACCTGGACATGGCCTCTCAAACACTTGAGACAGGTGTTGACAGCTGTCATTTTGGCATTTCGAATGTCCATGATTGACGTGCTATGCACTATTGCACATTAAATATTTAAATGCTGGCTTATAACTTCAGAGAGGAATTTATAGAAGATTAGTCTTTTATTATCAAAAAACAATAAAATAACTTACAATGAAATTCAATGTTACAAATACATATTTAGTGATTTTTATGAAAAGATGTGAAATAAAATGTTTTAAATGTATTTGATATGTATTGTTATTCTTAAACAATAATTTATTATTAATTTCAAGACTGTTAATCAAAAAACATTAATTTTTTCATTATTTATTGTAATTTATGCATTATCAAAAAATATTTAAGCTGTGGACCACCTAAGTTGCGGTTAAGCAGTTTGGACCCCAATCACCTCGGCTTAATGGCCCTACACTGTATTTATTTCAGTTGTTTACAGAAAATTGTGTTACAATTAAGGAATTATTTATTTTGTTGTGAGTACTTTTCTATCCTAATGTTGAGACTTTAATAGCAAAATATTGAGCTAAGACCATTTAAAAGTCTGTCATATTAAGACAAGAGTCAAGTAGGAAAAGGTATGTGTCATATGAAGATTGAGATTTGGGTTTATTGCAGCAATTTTTAGCTAAAAAACATCTGATTAAAGCAGGTTGTCATTAGTTATCTCTTCTTTTAGTATTTATAATCCTTTGTATCAATGGGAAATGATTCATGCTGAAGTTATTTCTTACAATCTTTTTCAAAAGAATTTCTTTTCAGTTTAATCATTCAAATCATTCTCGTTCTGACTTTTGTCCTGTTGTGGCCGTTGGCCATATTATTGTATTTAATAATTAATAATTCTATAAATGTAGGTTAGGCTTAAGATTTTCTTTGTTTCTATCCCTTTCCTGTTGATCAAGAAAAAGACTTCCTTCTTAATTACTTTACTATCTGGCAGTGAGTGATGTCAAAAACAGCATTGTAAAATAAAAAGAAGAGGAGAAAAACAAAGTAATAAAAAAAACTAGAAGGGATCTGGGCTCTCAACGGAAAAGGTCAAGGGGGATCGAGCTCTGAATCGGAACAGAGAAGAAAAGTGAAACTCAATGAGGGAGGTCGAGGAGAAGACGCTATCCAGCCCACTAAAGGAGGTCAAGAACTTCCTGCTGGACGGACTCGACACTGACAATATTGAAGAAAGTGGATTATCGACAAGGAGAACAGGAGAGATCCATTAAAGAAGGAGAAGAAAGAACCAAGGAAAGCCTCCACAATAGGAGTAGATGATCAGAGATGACAATAGCCCGCCCAGTATCACGGAGCATCCAGAGTAAAAACCCGATTATTTCCACCTTCCTCTTATTCTATCCTTATATTCTCCCTCTCCTTCCTTCTTATTGTTTGTAAGTAGATTAAATACAGATATCTTATTGAAAAAAAAATAGAGTTGTTTTATGTATCCCGGATTTTGTATCCTCACCGCCTACATGTTGGGATCCAATATACAAAGAACCTGATAACATATAGTGAATTAAAGAATAGTTTGTAAATTAACAAGAAAGTGTTTGTTAATCATTGTTTCATTCACGAAAAAATGGAAATAATAACACTTCAATTCGCCGGTGGTTATCACACTATATATGCTTTTCTGAAAATATCAATAAAGTTCAACAATTTCAAGTTTTAAATCTTTGTGTACCTTAACATAATGTATATGACATAAGAAATAATAGAGAGGGTATCTGTCTAACATCCCTTACATGTCCAATCCTGCTACCCACTTACATGTGGGAAGTGGGATGTTGGACAGGACAAGGAGATTTAACATCCCTTAACCCCCTATAATTCCAACCCTGATAATGGTGCCACTCCTCATTAGGGTTTGGACATTTGTACCAAGTTGAATGAAAGTTTCCCAGATAGATGGAGAGGCAGAGATGGACCTATCCCTTAGGACATTAATGTAACCTCAAAAGAAATATTTGAGGTGTAAACATCAGGTCTATACAAGATCAACCCCCATTTAGCTGTTCAGAAAAACAAAATTGCTGATGCCATACTAATTATCAAATTCAAACATGCTCAATAATGTAAGGCTTGCAATTAAATGTCAATTGGATTTGTTGCAAGCTACTAATGGTGCTCATGTACTGTACAGGTCTATTGAAATCTGAATAAAAGTTGTTTGAGTTGTTTTTTCTATTACCACAGTCTAAATCATATTAGGTGAATTATCTTTACTGTTATATTGTTTTGCGATATGTACAGGACTTTGTGACCACCCTATATATTTATTTGTTTTAAATTAATAAAAATTTTAAAATAATAAATTATACATGATTATTATAATAAAATTAATCTATAACCTACCTTATCATGTTGACTGTAATATTCCAATAATGAAGGCAGAAGAGGTAAAATAACAGTAAAACCAAGTAAATCAATTATTAAGGAAATGAAAAGAATAGAAATAGTTGACTTTTCATTTGTTTTCTTCTGTTCCATTTTAATTTCAAACACTAATTTGGAATTTTAAATAAATAGTTAATTATATATATTATCAAAATAAACTCAAGGTATTTAAATATTAAAAACATAATTCAACTATTAGTAAAAATTTCAGATTAAAATAAATTCTAGAATTAAATCAAAATTACTTATAACTATAACATGTTTGAATTAATTATAATTTGCACTTTATTTTGCAATTTGTATATAAATTTCCTAGATGTTCTATTATAAAAAAACTTATATTTATCCATAAATACAAACAAAATTATATTAAACTACACCACTAAACACAAAGATGTGTTAAATACTGCACTCTTAGAACCTATGTCAGATCGTTCAATGGAGGGACTCAACAGAAAATTCACTATTGAGTCAACTGTCAAATTTAGAAATGTACGGTAAGTCCCATTGATTTTGATTATTTTTACAAAATATAATTTTTATCCCTAACATTCAAGATTATGGATCACTGGTTGAAATATGGAACTTCTAAACCAAAAGAAAGTAGTGATTATAGTAGCATTCAACAAATAGAAAATAATGAAATTAACCTTCAATTCTGAATGAACCTGTTAAGAAAAAAGCAAGGAAAACTCGCAAGTACAACAAAGAATAGCTTAAATTTGGATTCTTGTGGACTGGAGATAAAAAGAGCCTATTCCACTTTGCGTCATTTGTTTTGAAAAGCTAACAAATGAAAGCATGAAACCTTCCAACTTAAAGTGCCATTTTGAGACAAACCACAATCCGTACAAAGATAAACCCATTAATTTTTTTGAAAACAAACTTAAGGATTTAAATCAGTCTCAAAAAATAATGTGGGGTTTGACAGAAGGTGACAATCAAAAAATCCTAGAAGCTTCATATCACATGTTGCTTTTAATTGTGAAATGTAGTGCAGCGGAGACGATTGGCGAAACTTTAATCAAGCCTGCAGCCAAGATAAGCAGAAGTAATAATAGGAGATAGAGCAAAACAAACTTTTGACCACGTTGCCTTCTCAAATAATACAGTTCATCAACAAATCATTGATATGTCTAATAATACACTAGTTATAGGTTCTAAGAGTGCAGTATTTAAAATTATATTATTTCAATATGTCAATCTCTAAAAACTATTAAATATATTTTATAGTCAATGAAACAAAGATATAACTGTCTTTTATCTAGAAGTCAGTCTCTATTATTAATTTAAAAATTTTTCAAAATTTACATCAAACCATTCATACAAATATTATTTTGATTTAGATAAAAAATTTAAACACAACATGACTTTAACTCATTAACTTCCAATAATACTTTTAAGAAAGATGTGATTTTCCAAATTTATTGTTAGATATTTGTATATAAAACATTACACTTTGATATTAAGGAATCAAATAATTAACAACAAACATTTATACTAACTAGACAATTTTCCATTAGCACTAAGAGTATTCACATACTTAATATTTTAATAAAACAGAATTAATACTATTAGTTATTTATGTAACTCAATATGCTTCTACTGATCCATCTTGATGAAACAAGCACACCACTAGTGACATAAGTAATATTAAATCCAAATGTAATAGTTTTGATTTTATATAATTACAAGTTGTTTATTTATAATTTATAATAATTATTAGATGTTAAAAACATTAGGTTAAATAAATCTAATTTAATTTAATTTAATGTTTTTGAAAGTTCAGAGATTTTCCAATTTCTTTTAAGCCAGTGATTCTCGACCACTGTGCCGTGAGATTTTTGAAGTGTGCCACCACTGCGAATATGCATACATAAGTGACGTCAGACAAGTAGTTCAATTAGTTCTACCTTCCTAGGGCACATTTGGAAATTGTAACCAATGTTACCAGTAACTGCCAGTAGTTACCAAGGTGTTTAGAAAACATGACCAAAATAACCAACTGCGTTTAAAAATCACTGTTATGATGTCACTGGTTGTCCTGCAGTACTTACCAAAGTAACCATGTATGCCGCCAAATTTTTAAATTATTAAAAAAGTGTATCGTGACGAAAAAAAGATTGAGAATTACTGTTTTAAGCCAACTAGCGAATCAACAGAAGAGATTCACAAAAAAGAATGGAAATGTCAAAAAAATTATATCCAATGGATTTTTCCCATAAAAAAAAAAAAAGCTCAGAAATACCATGTTATGAGAGATTTGCTATGATTGTTTAATATGTAATGAAATAACCAACAATCACATGAAAGCCCGATCTTTCAGGTGATTGTTGGTTATTTCATTATATACTTATCAGGCTTTAAAATATATACTGTATATGATCGTAGACGTGCACTCACCTCTGCCCAACGTAAAGCCCTACTACTCATAACAAAGGCCTATCGCACAGCTCCAAATGCAAGCCTTCAGGTGATGGCCCTCAAACCGCCAATTGAAAAAGTTATTGACTTATACTACAAACAGTGGAATATCAAGTGGGGACAAAACATTAACATCAACCCTTCCTACACAATTAATGCCAATGACTTGGAGACGTCCACTCCCTTTCACCTTACTCATTACCCTAGAGATCTTAACCCGATTAAATTTAATGGGAACTTTAATAACAACTGCAAAGTGTTTACGGATGGCTCCAAAGTTGATAATCATGTTGGAGGCAGCTTTGTGGTATATAGGGACAAAGATGAAATCTTCCACAAACGACTCAGACTTGCCGACCATTGCTCAGTCTTTCAGGCTGAGCTCTTTGCTGTAAATGCACGCCATACACTGGTGTGAAAATAATTTCTCTGGCCTTAGTATAAACGTTGTCTCTGACAGTCAAGCCAGAATCGCCAGCATTAAAAACAAACATCCACACCACCTAGTTACTGATATTTATTGCACTATTCGTCATTCCACCAATGAATATTTCTTGAACTGGACTCGTGCACATCAGGGTAATCCTGGTAACGAGCAGGCAGACGATCTAGCAAAGGAGGCTGCCACTGACCTCACTCTCACCACTAGTTATAATAATATGAGCAATTCCACCTTAAAGCACATCCTTTGGAACAATCTCCTCAAAAACTGGCAGAATGACTGGAACAACAACTGTCAATCAATTACCAATAACTTCTTCCCGCATATCTCGGACATTTATAACTATAAATGGTTGAAACTCAACCATTCCACATTGCAATTTTTTACCAACCATGGTAATTTCCACTGCTACCTTAACAGATTTACCAATTACTCAAACAATACATGCTCCCTCTGTGGCACTCAGGATGGAGCACTCCATTATATTTTCAACTGCCCAATGCTCGATGCTGAGCGGCAACATTTAAAGATTATAATCAACTCTCAGGGAAAGGACTGGCTCTGTAGTTGCAATGAGTTGATCAACGAACATTCCACTTACGTTTACTTCAATCAGCTGGTCAACAAATACTGTAAACTTGCAGCTCTCTATGTCTCAGCTAGCATCTCCTAGCAACATAAATACCACCACTTATAACTTATTCATATTGTTATGCAATTCCATTATGTATTTGACCTTTGACATGTACTTGTCTTGTATATTGTGTTCCAATTCAATGTCCTGTATATAAAGTCATTCTCATTTGTTACGCGATCTCTAGTATGTAATTAAACTGCTTTGTATATCATGTTATGTATATAGTGCTCCGTATCTATAGTCCCGTCTTTTATTTCATACCTTGTATATAATTGATTTATATCGAATATCATGTTATGTAATGTTATGTACTCTATTCCTGTATCTTTACTGTTGTATGTGTTTTCAAACCGGTTGTGCTTATGCAGTACCGGGCTTGTACCTTTGTACGGCAATAAAAAACTTGAACTTGTATATGATCGTGCTATCAATGTCCCTCAACAATTTTTTTTTATTTACCATTACTACAACTTAATGTTATTTAATTTTCTCTACGAATATATATTGTAACTGAATATATATTGAATTGAATGTATATTGTTTATCTCCTGGTAATGTTCCATGCAGGGCCAGGAATGTACTTGACAGTACATAGTAAATAAAAATGAATGAATGAATGATATACAGTGGACCCCCGATATAACGTGCATGTCGAGCGGGAAACAACACCCACGTTATAAGGTGAACTGCGTTATACTGAGCAGTACAGTGGCAACACAATGTGTTTGAGCTTATCACGTCGCAAACATCGCCCATGCTATAACTGAGTGTGCAGTATAGTGAGCAGTGCTATAATGAAGGTCTACTGTATAATAAGTGTGTGTGTGTGTTAATATGAAACCATGTTGAAGTTTTATGTTATGTAAGAGTTAATAATTCACATACCAAAACATAATTCACCACCAAAGGCTGGATCAAAGATTCAGACAAGACACCAACAAGAACATCTGGTATGTAAACAAAGTGAAACAAAAATTTATTTTTCGAGCTCATGCTTACAGGATCTTTTTCTTTACCAAGATTCCGGTTATAGTCGGCAACCAGCAATTGTTTCCTCCCAAAAAATGTTTGTTCGCATTGCGAAAGTACAAAAGTAATTTCTGTTTACATGTTACAATAATCACAAACTAAAGCTACAGTAAAGCTATCTTAAAAACTAGAACACAAAGATATGAAATAAAACACATGAAGAAGATAGGATAGAATAAGGATAGAAATACCCGGGATAATTTTTCTTTGCAATTGAATAATATTCCTTTCTGATAAAGACAGAGTCCTCCGGGAAGCCTTCATAAAAAGTTCTACTTCCTTCTTTAGGTGCAATACGCTTTGAAGCTTTCCTTTTTCTTTCTACTCATCACAAGAGTTCATCAAACAATCCGTGGAATATGCTTGGATCACCTGTCACCTCTTCTCATTCAACTCTGTTCCTAGCACCCCCAGTCCTTTTCTCGACTTGAGTGAAAGTATGTCCTCTTCTTCTGACAGTTTGCAATTTTATTATATATATATATACACACACACACACACACACACACACAGTGGATTCCGCTTAATTGAGACACCAGTTAATCAGGGCAGTCACTTTATTGGGCCAAATCTCA